CCATCCCCGGCCCCGCACCCCGCTCGCCCCGCCCCCGGCCGCGCGCCCAGGGCCACCCCGAGCTCATCAGGGGAGGGTGTAGCCCCGGGGGGGGTCCGAGGTGGGCCCAAAACTGCATTTTCGCAGTTAGGCCCAGGGGGTGCAGGTTTCTGCTGCGCACCCCCCTGTATTTTTTTATTTTTATTTTTATTTTTTGGATTCTTTTTGGATTTTTTTTTTTTTTGGCCCCTCCCGGGCCGGGGTCAGGGGACCACCGCACCGGACGCCCGGGGCCGAGGCTGTGACAACCCTGATTGGTTGGTCCTTTGGTTTGTTGATTGACTGAATGATTGATTGCGATCAATCATTCAGTCAATCAACCAACCAACCAAAGGACCAACCAATCAACAAGCCAATCAATCAATGAATCAATCAATCAATGAATCAATCAATCAATGAATCAATCAATCAATCTGTTCTGTTGAAGGCTGTAGTATATACTATAATCAGTCTGTTCTGTCGAAGGCTGTCGATTGGTTGGTTCATAATACTTACATGAGTTATATTACTGTACTGTAGTATATACTGTATAGTTGGGCTGATACGTATTCTTCGGGGGGGTTAAGGGTCCAGACATTTCCGGACCTGCCCAGGGGTCCAGATTGTCCGGATCCGCACATGTCTGGTGGCCTGGATGTGTCCGGAAGTCCGGATGTTCGGACCCGGCCGGACATGCGCCCGTTCCCCGGACATGTCATGAGCTGGTCCGGGTTCGGGTCCAGCGTAGCCATGGTTCTAACCCAGTCGTCTGTAGGAGTGAAAACCATACATGGACCTTTCTGACCCTGTCAGATTTACATGGACCTTTCTGACGCTGTCAGTCAACTTGGGGGCAATGCAATTTAAGAATTTTAAGTAAGAAAAGTTTGATTTACATGGACCTGTGTGACCCAGTCTTCCTCCTCTTCCTCCTCCTCCCGCTGCTGCTGTGCCAAGCTGTCCCTCGTTCTTCTTCTTCTTCTTCTTCTTCTTCTTCTTCTTCTTCTTCTTCTTCTTCTCCTCCTCCTCCTTCTTCTTCTCCTTCTTCTTCTTCTTCTTCTTCTTCTTCTTCTTCTTCTTCTTCTTCTTCTTCTTCTTCTTCTTCTTCTCTCCCTCCTCCTTCCTCCTCCTCTACTTATCTTCTTCTTCTCCTCCTCCTCCTCGGCCTCAGCCTCCTCCTCCTCCTCGGCCTCAGCCTCCTCCTCCTCCTCCTCCTTGTTCTTTTTTTCCACGTCTCGTCCTGTCATTTGTTTGTTGTCTATGTCGTGTTGACTTCTTCTACTGCACAATTTCCAGTGGCAGGACATCACGTTGAAGATGCTCCTGTGCTGTTCTCTGATTTGGTTCAGGTGGAGGATATTGTGAATGGGAACAGGAACTCTCTGTATGGAATTGACATCATGAGGAAGATCTGCAATCATCCTGACCTGCTGGAACGTGAAGTGAGTTCATCAAATCCAGACTATGGCAATCCTGAAAGATCAGGCAAACTCAAGGTCAGTGTTTTTTTCCCCTCTTCCTTTTTTTTTTCCCCTTCTTTTTTTTCCCCCCTTCTTTTTTTTTGCCCCTGAAGAAAACATTTTTTCTCTCTTTAATATTTTATATATATATAAATTTATAAAAACTTTAAAAAGTACACCTGTCTTCTCCTCATATGGGGGACAGTTGTAGTTTTTTGAATTTTTTTCCCTACCCTATTTTCTTCTCTCTTGCCTCCCTCTAGCTACCCGTATCTATACCTTACCTGCAAACCCTACCAAGCTGACAATGGGTCACCTCCATTAGGGAACAACAGCTTCACCACCTACCTATGACACTAGAGTCTTGACGCTAGGGTCTAGACTCTAAGGCTGAGGTCTACGGAAACACAGGCCAGCTACACTACATCCCAATCTTCCTACCCTTAAATATAATAATCGAAGCTACGCTATCCTAAGGTTATGGGTCCACACTGCACAGACTCCACACCCACCTAACTCTTCTCTGTGCGGGGAGCAGCACCCGAGCTGCTAACACCTGGTGCGGGATGGAAAGTCAAATGTAACTTCCACAACCACCCAGGAGGGACAAGCTGACTTTCCCAGCTGGTGAGCCCGAAGCATGCCACAGGAGGTCGTGGGGAATAGAACCCACAACCTCCTGCATACCACTTACATGCTCAGCCAACTGAGCTAGGCCGCTTGGCCTTTCCCCTTCTTTTTTCGTTCTGTCCGTCCCCTTAATTTGATCACAGTATGTCAGTATATCATTTTATCACAGTATGTCAGTATATCATTTTATCACAGTATGTCAGTATATCATTTTATCACAGTATGTCAGTATATCATTTTATCACAGTATGTGTTACATACTTCAATGAGTATGGGCAGAACCAAAGATCAACCAATGTAGGATGAGCATATATGCAGCGGAAGTCTGATAAACGGACTGACTCACATAGACTGACTCACATAGACTGACTCACATAGACTGACTCGCATAGGTATCACTCCACACACATACAATCATGAGATGGTGGGGTCTGGGCCAAGCATAGACGATGCCCAGATCCCGTACACACATACACAGATGAAAGGTGGGAGGAGAGACGAAGGAGGTGGGGGAGGTAGACAGCACCGATAGGTCACCGAGATAGAATCCAATAGGTCACCGATATGATAGTCCAAAATGTCATCCAACAAGATCAAAATGTCGAGGACAATCAGTCACCAATGTCGGAGATACAGAGTCCAAATGTAACCGGTGTCCGAACTGTGATGCCGCCAAGTATCAACCCCAACAATCTCCAAGTCTCCAATCCGGTAAGTACCACAGTCTCATACCACCAAAGTCCAACCCTGATCTCTGTCCAACTAGTATAGGTCTCCAATCTGAAGAAGAAGAAGAAGAAGAAGAAGATGGAATCTGAGGAGAAGAAGAAGAAGGGAGCCGAGGAGGGGAGAGAGAGAGAGGGGAATGGCGATGGGAGGGAGGAGAGAAGCCTCCAACTCCCGATACCTCAGGCGGCTATGGCCCCCGATACACTCAGTCGCCGCTGCTGCTGCTCCGCTCGCTGCTGCTGCGCTAATGCTGCGCTGCACTGCTCCTCGCTCCTGCGCTAAACATAGTGCCAGTGCTGTTTCGCGCTGTACCATACCGTACCGGTAGAATGCCGGTAGGTCGATAGCCTCAATGAGGCTGGACCGGTACTTTTGTACCGGTGGGGCAGAGGCCGGCCTCAATGCTGCAAGGCCTGGCCGTGCCCTGAACCGTCAAGATGGACGGTTCAGCCCCAACCAGCGGGCGGCAGCCTCAAGAGCGCCGCCAGGCCCAAACGGTAATGTCGTTTGGGCCTGCCCGTCGGGTCTGGTCCAAGGTAAGGCCTTTACGGCCTGTAGTACCTCCAAGGTCGGGCCTTTAGGCCCTAATATGTCCCTCTAACCCTAAGTCGGGTCCGGTAGGACCCATGTGGCGTTGAAGATGTAACAGTATGTCAGTAAATCATAATATGTCCACTTTTTTTTACACTTTCCAGACTCTAATCTAGTCTTTTCGCACGTGCACAGGTAACCATCATAAGCTCTGGAAAACGCAAAATCAATGATTTTTCCACGAGCACCAGGGTTGCATCCCTGCCGACCGCTGAACCTGACCTCCGACCGTATTGCACCCGACCGGTCGGCGGTCTGCCGACCAGTCAGGAAAAAAAAAGAAAAAAGAAAGAGAAAAAACGACCATCCACTGATTTTTTCACGAGGCTGTAGGCCGTAATCGGATTTGGAAAAAAATCAGTGGATGATCCCTCTGCCTCCCTCACTGGTCTAGTCTCGGACCTTGAAGATCCTATATTCCAGTGCCAGAAGTGTTAAGGGTTCGAGTCTTTGAGATGCTATTCTAGCGTCCAGTTTCGGGATTTCGCAGAGGGACCGTTTTGCCTGCTGGTAGCTCGTGGTGTTGGAGAGCTGAGGTGGTGCTCGGTGTGTTGTGTGTGTGTGTGTGTGTGTGTGTGTGTGTGTGTGTGTGTGTGTGTGTGTGTGTGTGTGTGTGTCTCTGTTCTGAGGGCAGGTGATGACTCAAGTGTTGGCTCTCTGGAAAAAGCAAGGGCATCGTGCTCTGCTGTTCACGCAAACGCAGCAAATGCTCGACATCGTGGAGTTGTTTGTGATTGCGAACGGATACAGATATCTTCGGATGGATGGCAAGACCAATCCGTCACAGCGAATGGTGTACATTGATGAATTCAATGAGTCGGAGGAAATCTTTGTGTTTATTCTCACCACTAAGGTAATAATCAACGAACTGCTGAAACGCTTACCTCTTGACGCTCTCGTATGCTTGTAGCAGCAGCAGCACCAGGTGGTATGTGTCGCAGCCTCGAAATGAAAGGAGTATGTAATGTGTTGAGTGAGTCCATATTTTGAAGACATATATGGCCATACATACTAGATGGATATATGGAATTGCATCGACCTACTGACAAAAAACAGGACAGCCTTTCTGTTAGATGTTGAGTTTGGCTGTTGTGGCAAATGCAAGGCGATTTACAACTTCAGCGGCGGTTCTGGTGTGTGGGTTCGCTTTTATGTTTGACAGGAACCGGCGGGAATCCGCGGGATTATGAATTGCCTTTCTAACCAAGCCATCTATCAACTTTTTGTCTTTGGACAGAAAGGCAATAATCTCTGCTTCGGTTTGATAAGTTTGATTCAGAATCTTTTTTCTTTTTTCTTTTTTTCCCGGATTTGATTTGATTTGATTTTGAAAATTTGGATTTCATTTTGATAAGTTTGATTTGATTTGATTTCACGTGATTGCTTTGATGTGAAATTGTGAATGCATTTGATGTCATCATGTGATGTGATGTGATGTGATGTGAGGGGAGGGGAGGGGAGGGGAGAGAGTGATTTCATTTCGTTTTATGTTTGATTTGATGAAATTTGATGTGATTTGGTTTGATTCGATGTCATCTGATTTCATTTGAGGTGCCTTTTCTCTCTTCTCTGATGCTTTTCTGCATCAAGCTCAGGTTGGCGGCTTGGGGACGAATCTGGTGGGCGCTAACAGGGTGATCATCTTTGATCCAGACTGGAATCCGACCACGGATTTGCAGGTAAAAATTTGTGGTCCTCCTTTGCTCTTTCCCATTGTTTGTTCATTTCCATTCATCTTTCTCTTAATCGATTTTTTACCGTCGTAAACGACCACTGTCAACCGGCCATTTTTTCGTACGTGAAGTTGAGTAGGAAGAGGAAGAGGTATATGGGTAAAAGCCATCCACACAAGGCCCAGAGAGTTTTAAATTTTAATCTTTTAACAAGAAACAAAAAATGAGATCTTCCTCAAAAGGCTTCCTGCCTCTTGTGTTTTGCATGTGTTTTTCTTCTCTGAACGAATGGGCAGGTTTGGTGGTGAATCTCCTAGCCTGGCGTTGTTACGAAAAACTAGTTTAGGAGGGAAGGGGGAGGGAGGGGGAAGGGAAGGGGAAGGGAGGTGGGAGGTGGGAGGGAAGGGGGAGGGAGGTGGAAGGAAAGGGATGGGAGGGGGGAGGGAGGGGGAGGGGGAGGGGGAGGGGGAGGGGGAGGGAGACGTTAGACGCATGCATCAGATCTTTCAGCTCTCTCTGGTAATGCCTAGCAGCTCTGAGCGTATGCGGCCCTGTGAGTGAATGCTAAGTATTTCTTGTCGTGCTGGTGCTGACGGGGGGCATGGGTCTGACCAGTGGTCTGTGCGTATTGTATCGGTACATGCGTTGATTGTGTGCTAGGCCAGGGAGCGGGCATGGCGAATAGGCCAGAAGAAGGATGTGATCGTGTATAGGCTGATCACACGGGGAACGATTGAGGAGAAGGTGTACCATAGGCAAATCTACAAGCACTTCTTGACGAACAAGATTCTCAAAGACCCCCGCCAGCGACGATTCTTTAAGGCCAAGGATTTGCAAGATCTCTTCACATTTACGGAAGACCAGCAGGGCACAGAGACAGGGGCGATTTTTCCTGAAGCGGGATCGAATGCCGTCGCGTTGCGGAGTGAAAATGATCAGTCTGATCAGATCAACTCGTTCTCTGCCGTACGATCGGGAGGTGCAAGAAACCACTCAGGAGAAAAGTGCAACAAGAGTAAAGGAGCTAAGAAAAGCAAAAAGAAGAAGGACGAGGAAGACGATGACGCAAGCGAAGAGCTAGGAGGGATGGTTGGGAAGGAGGCCGCAGGCGTTTCTGGAAGGAATCGTTGTCAGGACACGGATGACGAGGTTCAGGTGGTCCCCACTGGAACTGGAAATGGCAGTCAAGAGGAAAAGGGAGCAGAAGAGGAAGAGGACTCACACATTCTCGAAAGCCTCTTCAATGCAAATGGAATACATGTAAGGGGGCAAAAAGAAACGTTGGACCTATTTATTTACTTTTTATAAGTTTTTAATATTTTGTAACTTTTAGTAAGTTTTTACTAGGTTGAACCGTTGAAGCCTTAAAAGTTAACACGTGTGGGTAAGGTGCACATTGATCAGAAATGTCCTATCTAATCGATTTCGTTCCGGTTAACGGAGGGCTGATGATCGATGTTGATCAAAGTCAACGCAACGTTTGTGCAATGTGTTCCCCTCATATTATTCTCTCTTCCCTGCGGCCAAATGCAGCATTATTTTGTAGATTTAATCACAAAAAGTGACATTTGGGGAAAAAACGAAAACAACAATATAGAAGCACCGGGTAGGCTCAGTGGTTAGAGCACCGGTTGGAAATGCGTTGTGGTATATGAGGTTGCGGCCTCAAAACTCTCCTGCCTTGCGCACGTACATCAGCAGCACTTTCATAACACATTTTCACACACACCCTTTGGGACAATGCACGGTAAGACTTACAGACACTGCCTAGGGGAGTCTGATGATCAGGGTCTTATCTTGTCCCCACCATGGGCAGGTAGTGGGAAAGGAGGGGAGGAGGGGGGGGAGGGGGAAGACGCGGGGAGGGGGGAATAGGCTAGGGGGGATATTCTTACCACTGAGATCGTCAACGACTATATAACAGTAGAGTCGCTGATAGGGCCCTTGGCACTTTCCACATCAGTAGAAACTGTTGAAACCGTCCGTATCCCTGCATAGCGACTTGGACCCTCCAATCTGTCGGTCTCGTCAGTCTGTACTAGTCTGTGGGGGTACCATGGTGAGCCTTGGGTACAGGTAGTACGTCTCCCGTTACTATGGCACCCGTACGAGAGTCCACACAGAGCGAACTTAGACTACCGTAGGGTCCATCTCGGGGGGTAATCCTACACACACACTGGGTGTTAATATGGGGCAGGTGGTGGGCATTCTTCATCCCGTGGCGCTACATCCAGGCTGGGGTCTGTGGGAATTCCCAGTGGGGGAATTAGCTGGGACTGTGGACCCTTGGGGGAGCCTTGTAGGAGGCATCGTGCTTAGGAAAGGGGAGGGTGGGATATCTCATCTTAGTGGAAGGTGGTTCGCTGCCCATAGAGACTGCAGGATGAGGCACAGATGGGGGATGACCGCACGTGTGTGGACCCCCACCTCTGCGCGGTCGTCCTTAACATTACAGTTACGGTAGTGTCTGCACGAAGACGTTCGGGTCGTCTGGTAAGCATTGGCACATATCAGGAGTTGGGATCTCAGCATTAGCATAGATCATGTCATCATGGTGCGCCACCTTGAGGCGACTCCCTTTGGGCCCTCACAATCCATCTGACCTGCCAATGGATGAGTACTACGGGCGCCTCCTGAGGCCTGGCTTCCACCCTCTACTACACCCTGGACCTCCTCAAAAAAAAAAAAAAATCATGATTTGATATTGATATCATACTATTTGGTTAATTTATTATCATTATTTTTTTAGTAGAAATATATACCCCAAAAACCATCTCAGAAGTATTTCTACTATCACTGAATTGATAAGTTGATAACAGATCTTGTTAGAGTATATTCACAATAACTTTTTTTTTTCTTTTTTAAAGTTTTTTTATTTTTTCCTTTTTTAAAAGAAAGGGCGACGGCCTTGAGGTATCACCATCGAGTTGACCGGGCCTAGGTAATTCAGAACTTGTCCAATTTCCCTCATCTGATTCTGGTTGAGTTTGAACTCGGGTCAGAATTTCAACAGTTCAGTCATGTACCAACTGAGCTAGGCCAGCTGGTATTAAATAACAGTAATAAAATAGTAAAAATACTAATAAGTACTAATAAGTAGTCCAGTGGTTAGAGCACCGGTTGGAAATGCGCATTGTGGTATGAGGTTGCGGGTTCAAAACTCAATTGCAGCCTCGTGCATGGACACCGGCACGGCGTTAGAATGACGCACGGCTGGACACACACTCCCCTCGGCTGACGCATCGTACTATTACAGACACTGCCTGCACACCACCCAGGGGGTCAGTCCATGGGTGTTGTATGCGGGTATAGACTGCACGTTGGTTGCTTGCTGTTGTTGGCTTTGGTCGTGCTGATGATCTCCTCCATCCTAGATATTTCACACATTATATCCACTTCCTACTGTAGTGCATGTGGTAGAACCCTCCAGTCTCATACTGTAGGTCACAGGTTCGAGTCCGGTTGCGGACTTTGGGGGGGTCCTGTCCAGATAGGCCTGTCTCTACCACATATCACACACACACACACATGAGACACTGTCCAGATAGGCCTGTCTCTACCACATATTACACACACACACATGAGATACCACCCGAGATGCTGACTACAGGAACAACCATGATACTCACATGGATTAAGGCACTTCGGAGGGACAAGGCTGGGGGCTAGTGGAAGGACGGATGATGGCCCACCGTCGACTGAGTCTGTAGTCTGTCCCTTCCGATCCTTATAGGAAGTACCTCGGAAGGACGGATGATGGCCCACCGCCGACTGAGTCTGTAGTCTGTCCCTTCCGATCCTTATAGGAAGTGCCTCGCTGATGACCGGAATCTGCTGATAGGTGAGAGACAGTCTTCCCTACTGAGGATAAGATCAAGTAGGTATGGGTCCTTTGGGGGGGGAGGAGCCCAAGATGATGACCGGGGTCTGGAGGAGGGCTGTCTATTCGTTGGCAACAGATTAAGGGCGCATAGGGTCGCCCCTCCGCTGCGTCGAGGCAAGGTGCTTCTATGGGGCTATACATACTACCTACACATAGCTCACACAGGTACCGGTGGAGGTGATAAGAGCTCCTCTCACTGGTACTCTCTTCGCAGATGCTCCATGGTGGGGAGCAGCGTCTGCTACGGGTCCACACACATTACGAACATACACATAGCCTACGGGCACATACCTACAATACAGGACACACACATACATAACCATAGGGCTGGGAGGAGGTCACGACCGACTAATAATAATGATAGGCATCTTGATGATGAAGAGAGAGGGCGTGAGTTACTAGTCGGTCAACTTAGGGGCTAGTAGGAGATTGCTTGGGCCTGGCGTCCGAAGTTCCCGTGCGACGAGGCTTGTTCGATTCCGCTTCCACGAGGGCTGGGTCATGGCTAGCCCTGGTGCCTGTCACTACTGTTCGTTCCAAGTTCCCCTCGATGGTAGGGTAATGGTCCTGAGTGCTGGTCACACTGAGGTAGGATAGTAGGAATAGGGGGTGCGCTAGGAGTATTGACGCGAGGATGGGATGGGAGGTAACCTCGTCTCTTCAGGCCAACCATGGCTGACCGCTTCCGGCAATCAATGTGAGCCTAGTAACTGGTCTCTACAACACCCTGGATAAGTAGTAATAACTGTTATTTTGTGTATTGCAGTGTTGGACACCCCGACCGTCGGCGACCATTGACTGGTCGGCTAGTCGGCACCTACCGGTCGGGGGTGTCGGCACCCCGCAAAAAAAAACAAAAAAAGTTTTTTTTGGGGGGGTCCAGAACCCCTAATAACCCCACCAACACCCCCATACCCACTGCAAATACCTACCCCAATACACCCCCCCAACACCCCCAAACCGCAACCCCCCCTCCCCCCATATCCCCCTATATCCCCCCATCCAATCAACGCCCCCATACCCCCCCCGTCCCCAAAAGTTTCTCAGCGGATTTGGGCTGTACTCAGCAAGCGCAGTACAGCTTCCAACTCAGATCTGAAAAATAATCAGTGTTTTCTGACTGGTTGGCAGACCGCCGAGCGGTCAGCCCTACTGGTCAGCTTCAAAACGGTTGGCGTTCGGGGTTGGCAGTAGGCAGGTATGCAACCATGGTGTATTCTGAAAAAAATGCTTGATCTCTTTGAATTCCTTAATGCACATGTTGGTAAACGTGTAGAAAGCTAGAACAAAAAACAAAAAGGTGTAGAATCCGCCTGCTGCATGCCATGCCGTCCTTCGACTAGTGCGCACTGTGCACTCATTTCCTTGAGGCTGTTCCAGCTGGCATAATATGAGATCGTGTCATTTTTCGGGTAGCAGGCTTTACTCACAGTCAAAAAAGTATCTGGAAAGACAAAATGGGGTGTGGCAGTGAAAAAGCCCTGAGTAGACTGGGACACATGCTCATCTGGTCGGACTATAAGTTATAACTGGCTGAGCTCATTTTGTCTGGGCTAATTGCTTTGTTTTTTTGGATGCTCGTCTTTTTTGCCGTTGGGCAGTCGGCGATGGACCACGATGCCATCCTTGGGGCGAACGAACCAGATCGGATAATCATCGACCATGAGGCAACAAGGGTAGGTAGTAGTGTTCATGGAACACAGGCCTTCTCCTTCTCCCTCTGCTCCTGCTGCTTCTCGTCGTACTCCTCTTCATCCTGCATTCCTCCCCCTCTCTCGTCCTTCGACCCCCTTCTCTCCCTCGAAATAAAGAATGATGATGCCGGAATGCCATCACGAGCACCCCCTCGTCCTCCTCTTCCTCCTCCTGCGTGGCCTCCCCATCTCTCGTGCCGGGAACCCCCTCCTTTCCCACTTTGTCATTGTCGTCTTCATCAGTGAAAGAAAGAAGTGGTGATGCTGGGAAAAACCATCACAACTACCCCCTAGCGTCTTCACCCAAATACAAGGCCAGGTCATTATGGCCGACATTTGGTGCAATTTCAGTCTACGTACACAGCGATAATGACCAGGCACTCTATTCGGGTGAAGACGGTAGGTAGAGGCCAGGCCAGGATAGGTCTCTCGAAACTTCTGCTTCTGGTCTTCTTGCTCGTCCTCATCCATTTCCTAACCTTTCTCATCCTTCGACACCCTCCTCTCCCACTTTGTCACGGGTATCATCATCATCTTCTAAAATAAAGAACGATGATTGTGGAAAACCATCACAAGCCCTCTCTTAGGTACGGCCTCAAGGCCACAATAAGTCACGCGGACCTTTTGGACTGAATTGGGCCGTAATCAGGGCCAGATACATATGGGACATTCCCAGTTGGAGTATGCCCTAAAAGAGTTCCTCTACCTCGATCTCAGCTTCATCAGCACGTCGCTTGTAGCGCCCATTATGAGCTTTTGTCCCTTTTTGCCTCTCTTATTCTTTCTTGTCTGTTCTGACTTATTTGACCCTTTCTTTGTCAAAGGGGTTTTATGTCATTCTCATGTTTTCTCTAAGATGTGGCTTCAGTTCTGTAGCTCATAGAGACTCTGGCTTTGGTGTTGTGTGTAGTGTGGCGCGAAAAGACTCGCAGTCCGTGACGACGCAATTTTGCTGTAAGTCAAGTCATTGACTGAGCTTGCGCGGCAGCAGTATCCTTTGGTTGGGTTTAGCTGTAATCATGCGGACGTTTTGGACTCACTTGGGCCGTAATCATGGCCAGATACATATGGGACATTCCAGAGCTCAGTGTTAGTCTGCCTGATGACAGAGTAGAGTAGAGGAACACAATCACGCAACAAATGCAGAGTCGTCGAAAGTTAGCGAGAGTCCGACAAATGCCGAGTATTCTCATGATAGTCTTCTGGGGGGTGGTTTCTTCAGGCTGTTTTTCGAGCAACTGTCGCGATGGGAAACTATAACATTATATATGTGGCCTTTGACATGATGTGCAGGTCGCTCAGCGAGCAGCAGAGGAGCTGCGCGCATCACGTCAGCAACGGATCAGAGAGCAAGTGTATGTGCCAACCTGGACAGGAAGGTCCGGTACTGCGGGTGCTCCACAGTCCGCCCGGGGAAGGTTCGGGTCCACGGTCAACTCCCGTCTCGTGGGCTCGTCGGCAGGAACGAGTTCTGTGACCAACATAAGCAGCGGTGTGAAGGGCGCGTCAGCAGGAGTGAGTTCAAGTGGGTCTGCGCCGTCTCAGCCGGGATCACAGGCCGCCGAAAGCGTGGGCAGTAGAGGGTCGTCCTTCCGGGGAGGCTTAGGAAGCTCGGCAACGTCTTCTGGAAGCTCCTTGACTGCTGAAAGTGGCATTGCGGGCAGGACCGGGGGAGCGGCCATGACGTCAGGCGAGCTGCTTGCACGGATGCGACAGAGGCGTCAGGCTGCGGCAGTGGAGGCTCAATCTGCTGTGGGACCAGGGGCCAGACGGTTGGCAAGCATTGCTCAGGGGGACGGAGGTGGTGCAAGCTGGGGACCCAGCGCCCTGAGGGAAACGCAGCCGGAAAGTCTAGCTCGACGAATGTGCTCCTTTCTACAGGAAAACAATGGAAGAGTGAGTTCTTCGAGGATCATTGAGAAGTTTAGGGAGGAAATTCGACCAGAAGATGCGCCTCTCTTCAAGCAGTTGCTGAAGCAGATTGCAACACTTGAGCGTACAGACGGGAATGCCACCTGGGTATTGAAACCTGACCTGAGATGAGAGCTGTTTCTTGTCGCTGCAGCTTCATCTATTAACCATAGCAGGGATGCGGAGTGTCGGTGTAACTTGCATACGTTCGGTGAACATGCGGACTGGAGATGTCCGGCCTGACAGACGTACACGTGGGCAAGAAGAGAGCAAAAAAAATTCAGGTCCTCGGGGGGGGGGGAGAGATCATGGCAACAGCTAGGAGTGGGGGGTTGAGGGAGGCCGGGATGTGTCAGGGAAGGACAGGGGTTGCTGGGATGACCAGGGTCATTTTCTTATAAGGAGGAAGGATGGGAATGGGAGGGAGAACCCTCGTTTTCTTTTCTTATCTTTTCTTTTATCTCCATGTCCAGCGGGCATTCAGTCTGCAGACCGGACGCGGATGCGACTACAGACACGCGGAAGGCTGCAGATGAAACCCAATTATGAGTTCAATCTGATTTCATCATCCGCCTGGAGATGGCTGCTTGGCACGCCGTCACCGTAACCTAGTACACAGGGGGGGGGGGGGAGAGAGAGAGAGAGAGAGAGAGAGAGAGAGAGAGAGAGAGAGAGAGAGAGAGAGAGAGATGACCGTGTCCGTCACGGTGTGAATGAAACCTCCGAGAGAGAGAGAGAGAGAATCTGTCGATAAAATCTGATAGAAGCATTGCCGACAACTGAAAAAGGACTTGTGAAAGCTGTTGGCTGAGTGACAGACTGACAGATGGAGAGATTGACTGACTGACCCTCTGACTGACTGACATGCAGGCAATTCAGAGGTGTCAGGAAGCCAACGACTGAAACGAAAGTAATGGAAGCTGGTGGCCGGTAGACACACCTACCACAGTCTTGGCATGTTTGCTTAAAGGCGAGCTGTAGGACGACACAGTATGAACCTGTCTCAACCATCTGACCACGTGCGTTTGCTCCTGGCCGAATTTTTAGTACTATGGGGTGAGGCCAATGGCCAACAAAGTTAAGGTTGATGTAACCGAACCTTGTAACCACATAGATCAGCCAAGTGGAACAGTAAGTCGAACCTGGACATATTCTGTAGCAGGCGATCTGAACCAGCACATGTTCTGCATCAGTTGTTTTGAACCTGGACATGTTCTGTATCAGTTGATTTCTACTCCCAAGATCCGTCAATGCTCCCGGAGGTCTGCTAATGCTCATTGCTCAGGAGCTCGTTTGTAGAGTGTGGGGCGGTGCAAAAAATGAGGGGCATCCGTAGGATGCCGGAGCTTATTTGTGGCATAGACGAAAGTGTTCTGTCATGCGTAGGTTAGGTTTGAGGTTTCGGGCGTAGAGTGCTATGGGGTGCTATGCTTTGGTTTGAGGTCCAAGGCATAGCACTATTCCCCATAGTACTAAAACTTCAGGGGCATAGTGAGTATTACGGGGTGCTATGCTTTGGTTTGAGGTTCGGGGCGTGGGCGTAGTGCTATGGGGAATAGTGCTATGCTTTGGTATGCTTTGGTTTGAGGTCCAGGGCATAGTGAGTATGCTCTATTCTCGTACTTGTCTTAGCGTTTCGATTGTGGAAGTCAAGGTCCGGACGGCTTCAGCTTTGATGTTTGAGCTTAGCTTTGTGAATACCATTCGATGGAGAGATGACCCGCCGTTGAGCATCGTGTCGAGCATTGTGCCGGCAGGCGTCGATCTGTGCAGCTCTGATATGGTGTTGAATCCCTTTGAGGTCTGTCATCTTGCTTGTGAAATGTATGTTTTTTGCCGGACTCTTCTTCCTGGCATTTTTTTCATCAGGTAGGAACGGTTGACCTTCCAGCAGAGGGGTCTTAAGTGCCAATAGGCTTACAACATTACCATCCTTATCCTCCAAATACCCAGAGCAGGGTGGAAAAGGAAGGCATGGAAGTTGGGAGAGGAAGGAGGGTGCTCTAAGGGTGATTGTGCTCCTCTTCGTCGTTGTCTTCGTCTTCGTCTTCTTCGTCTTCGTCGTTGTCGTCTTCATCTTTGTCGTTGGAAGGCATGGAAGTGGGGGGAGGAAGGGGGGTGCTCTAAGGGTGATTGTGCTCCTCTTCGTC